TCTCTCTCTGGTCTCTCTCTCTCTGGTCTCTCTCTCTTGGTCTCTCTCCTCTCTGGTCTCTCTCTCTCTGGTCTCTCTCCTCTCTCTCTCTCTGTTCTCTCTCTCTCTCTGGTCTCTCTCTCTCTGGTCTTTCTCTCTTGGTCTCTTTCTCGTGGTCCTTTCTCTCTTCTCTCTCTCTGGTCTCTCTCTCTCTTGTCTCTTTCTCTGGTCTCTCTCTCTCTGTTCTCTCTCTCTCTGGTCCCTCTCTGGTCTCTCTCTCTGGTCTCTCTCGTCTCTCTGGGTCTCTCTCTCTCTCTCTCTCTGGTTCTCTCTCTCTCTGGTCTTTCTCTCTCTCTCTCTGGTGTTTCTCTCTCTCTCTGTTCTCTCTCTCTCTCTCTGTTCTCTCTCTCTCTGGTCTCTCTCTCTCTCTCTCTCTGGTCTCTCTCTCTGGTCTCTCTCTCTCTGGTCCCTCTCTCTGGTCCCTCTCTCCTTCTGGTCTCTCTCTCTCTCTTGGTCTCTCTCTCTGATCTTTCTCTCTCTCTCTCTCTGGTCTCTTTCTGGTCTCTCTCTCTGGTCTCCCTCTCTGGTCTCCCTCTCTGGTCTCTCTCTCTGTGGTCTCTCTCTCTGTTCTCTCTCTCTCTGGTCTCTCTCTCTGTTCTCTCTCTCTCTGGTCTCTCTCTCTGTGGTCTCTCTCTCTGTTCTCTCTCTCTCTGGTCTCTCTCTCTGTTCTCTCTCTCTCTGGTCTCTCTCTGTTCTCTCTCTCTCTGGTCTCTCTCTCTGTTCTCTCTCTCTTGGTCTCTCTCTCTCTGGTCTCTCTCTCTGGTCTCTCTCTGGTCTCTCTCTCTGGTCTCTCTCTCTGGTCTCTCTCTGGTCTCTCTCTGGTCTCTCTCTCTGGTCTCTCTCTCTCTGGTCTCTCTCCTTCTTCTGGTCTCTCTCTCTCTGGTCTCTCTCTCTCTCTCTGGTCTCTCTCTCTGGTCTCTCTCTGGTCTCTCTCTGGTCTCTCTCTCTGGTCTCTCTCTCTGGTCTCTCTCTCTCTGGTCTCTCTCTCTCTGGTCTCTCTCTCTGGTCTCTCTGGTCTCTCTCTCTGGTCTCTCTCTCTGGTCTCTCTCTCTCTCTGGTCTCTCTCTCTGGTCTCTCTCTCTCTGGTCTCTCTCTCTGGTCTCTCTCTCTGGTCTCTCTCTCTGGTCTCTCTCTCTGGTCTCTCTCTCTCTCTCTGGTCTCTCTCTCTCTCTGGTCTCTCTCTCTGGTCTCTCTCTGGTCTCTCTCTCTGGTCTCTCTCTGGTCTCTCTCTCTGATCTCTCTCTGGTCTCTCTCTCTGGTCTCTCTCTCTGGTCTCTCTCTGGTCTCTCTCTCTGGTCTCTCTCTGGTCTCTCTCTCTGGTCTCTCTCTGGTCTCTCTCTCTGGTCTCTCTCTCTCTCTGGTCTCTCTCTGGTCTCTCTCTCTGGTCTCTCTCTGGTCTCTCTCTCTCTGGTCTCTCTCTGGTCTCTCTCTCTGGTCTCTCTCTCTCTCTGGTCTCTCTCTGGTCTCTCTCTGGTCTCTCTCTCTCTGGTCTCTCTCTCTCTGGTCTCTCTCTCTCTCTGGTCTCTCTCTCTGGTCTCTCTCTGGTCTCTCTCTGGTCTCTCTCTGGTCTCTCTCTCTGATCTCTCTCTGGTCTCTCTCTCTGGTCCCTCTCTGGTCCCTCTCTGGTCTCTCTCTGGTCTCTCTCTGGTCTCTCTCTCTCTGGTCTCTCTCTCTCTGGTCTCTCTCTCTCTCTCTGGTCTCTCTCTGGTCTCTCTCTCTGGTCTCTCTCTCTCTCTCTGGTCTCTCTCTGGTCTCTCTCTCTCTGGTCTCTCTCTCTCTGGTCTCTCTCTCTCTCTGGTCTCTCTCTCTCTGGTCTCTCTCTCTGGTCTCTCTCTGGTCTCTCTCTGGTCTCTCTCTCTCTCTCTCCGGTCTCTCTCTGGTCTCTCTCTCTGGTCTCTCTCTGGTCTCTCTCTCTGACTTCCATATGAAAACCATGTGGATGTTGGATAGACCCATAGTGCGTGGATTAGACGCGGACTTCGCGGACCTTGAAGGCTCCTCTCTTGGCTTTCCCGAGCGCGGTCCTCCGTCCGTGCACCACCACCACATCATCGGGACTGGATGAGGCCTCTGCCCGGCACACAGAGCTCCTGACGCGGGCAGGGTCAGCAGAGGGCCCCGGGGACAGGCCTGGAGGACTGAGGTGCCCCGAGATCAGCTGCAGGCGGTGCATGGTCCAGCGAAGTCTGTGGTCCGGAGGGAGACCCGGAAGTGGACCCGGAAGTGGACCCTGGTTTGTTTACACCAGAGGAGGGAGCGCGCAGAGGGACAAACTAAAAACGCCACAACTCAAAAAGGATTTACGATTAAAATATAATTATTAATACCTCTTGCTTTGGTTAAAGCTGGGATACGTGACTTTTAAACACAAAACAACTATGTAATAAAAAACATTTGTAGTTCCTGGTTCTAAAACATGTTTGATCTGTCCCATCTTTAAATCAGATTTTTCAGAAAGAAACGTGACAAAGACTATACAAATAAACTTGCGGAGTTAGTGAAAAAGAGGAGACACAGGTCTGAGTAAAATATGTTTTATTACATTTTAATTTAAGGCCACTTTGTCACATTCAGATTCATACAAATACAGACACAAGGACGTTCATGTGGACCCCGGGCCGGACTATGTGGACCCCAAAACGGATTATGTGGACTCTAAACCGGACTATGTGGACACAAAACTGGACAATGTGGATTCCAGATCGGACTATGTGAACCCCAACCAGAGTATTAAATGACTGATTTCTTGACACCATATGTAAATTGCAGTGTGGGGGTGGTAGGGTCGTTCTGAAGGGCGTGTATTACATAGTATTAAACTTTATAGTTGATTTGTGGAGGACACAAGAGGACGTCTCTCTGTCCTCTCACGGGACAGACCTAAGTGCTGCTCTGTCCCAGTCCCAGTCCCAGTCCCAGACCCAGACCCAGTCCCAGTCCCAGTCCCAGTCCCAGACCCAGTCCCAGTCCCAGTCCCAGTCCCAGACCCAGTCCCAGTCCCAGTCCCAGTCCCAGACCCAGTCCCAGACCCAGTCTCAAAGCTGCAGCCTCTGGTCAAACACATTTTTACAGAAGAACATTAGGTACAAACACAACTCGTGTTAAAGGTGAAACAGTTTGATACAAAAGGTTTGAAGAAAAACATGATTTACTTAATCTGTTTGTGCGTCTCTGTGTGCGTCCTCTGTGTGCGTCCTCTGTGTGTGTGTCTCTGTGTGCGTCCTCTGTGTGTGCGTCTTCTGTGTGTGCGTCCTCTGTGTGCGTCCTCTGTGTGTGTCCTCTGTGTGCGTCCTCTGTGTGCGTCCTCCGTGTGCGTCCTCCGTGTGCGTCCTCTGTGTGTGTGTCTCTGTGTGCGTCCTCTGTGTGTGTCTCTGTGTGCGTCTCTGTGTGCGTCCTCTGTGTGTGTGTCTCTGTGTGCGTCCTCTGTGTGCGTCTCTGTGTGCGTCCTCTGTGTGTGTGTCTCTGTGTGCGTCCTCTGTGTGTGTGTCTCTGTGTGCGTCCTCTGTGTGTGCCTCTCTGTGTGCGTCCTCTGTGTGTGTCTCTGTGTGTGTGTCTCTGTGTGCGTCCTCTGTGTGTGTGTCTCTGTGTGCGTCCTCTGTGTGTGTGTCTCTGTGTGCGTCCTCTGTGTGTGTGTCTCTGTGTGCGTCCTCTGTGTGTGTGTCTCTGTGTGTGTGTCTCTGTGTGCGTCCTCCGTGTGCGTCCTCTGTGTGTGTGTCTCTGTGTGCGTCCTCTGTGTGTGTGTCTCTGTGTGCGTCCTCCGTGTGCCTAAGGTCTCAGCTGAAGCTTTAGACCCGGTCTCGGCTGTAGACCCGGTCTCGGCTGTAGACCCAGTTTCAGCTGTAGACCCGGTCTCGGCTGTAGACCCGGTCTCGGCTGTAGACCCGGTCTCAGCTGTAGAAGATGAGCTCTGGGATCTGTCCTCCCTGGACGCCGGTGCCGTTGGTGCTGTCCGAGGAGCACTGGAACTGGAAGGTGACCCTGCCGCTCTGCACCTCGGTCATTCCTTCTTGTCCAAAGTAGCTGAGTTCGTTTCCGTCCAGGACGACGCTGGCGGTGTAGAAGGTGTCGGGTTCTATCTGCACCGGGTTCTCGAAGAACACGGGGAAGGTGCTGGAGGATCCGTCAGAGAAGTACTTGATGAGGCGGTGGGCCATGGCGGCGCCTTGTCTCTTCAGCTCGATGCGAGCGCTGTACTCCGCAGAGCCACAGCTGGAGCCGTACAGACCGAAGCCGGCGATGAACACACGTTTGTCTACGGCAAACTGGATGCTGTCGCAGCGCCCCCTGTATCTCCACTGGTTACTGCGGTAGGCGCAGGACTGGAAGCGGTGGCAGCGTTGAGGCGACAGGCCTTTGCGGGGTTTGGAGCAGAACAACAGCTCGGGTTTGTTGGCCGCCGTGTACCAGAGGAAGATGTCGTTAGTCTCCGTTAGCGTTAGCACTCCGGACTGCGCGGCGCCGTTAGCGAAGTCCTCCAGCCCCATGGTGGGCACGCGGATCATGTAGATGGCCTTCCCCAGGACCTGCCGCTTGTTGTCGATGGTGGGCTCCAGGTCCTGGCGTCCGCACTCGGCCTCGGCCCAGCTCAGCGCCGCCTCAAACACCACCATCTCTTTGGCGTTCAGAGTCTCTCTCTGCAGGATACTCTCCAGGGTCACCGGGTCGATGTCACAGAAGCCCTCTGACCTCAGCGCCAGCTCGGCCTGAGCGTCGATGACCTCCCAGCACCTCTGCGTCAGCTCGGGCTCCTCGAACAGGCAGCTCTGCGACAGCAGCACACACGCGTTCTTCGCGCTCAGACTCGTCTCCAGGAAGTTCACGCAGGCGCGAGCCAAGTGCGGAACGATGTACTTCTTAGCTGCGTACAGGGTCGCCAGGACCGTGTCTGCGCACAGGTCGATCTCATCGCAGTAAATGTACCTGAAAGAGAGAGAAAGAGAGAGAAAGAGAGGGGGAGGGTTAGAGAGAGAGAGAGAGAGATAGAGAGATAGAGAGATAGAGAGATAGAGATTTTGACCGTGTCTTACTTCAACATGGCGAGGAAAGATGGCGGCTCCACGTCTGGGATCCGGATCTCGTCCTGGTCTTCTGCCAACTCGCCGTAGAACATGGCGTGAAACACAGAGCTGCCCACGGCCAGGACGTACTGAGGGGACAGAGACATGAGGAAGGTCGGTCCAAGTCTCTCCAAGTCTCTCAAAAGCTCCAAGTCCCAAGTCCAGATCAGGACAACCTCAGTCCACCGGCCTCAGTCCACCGGCCTCAGTCCACCGGCCTCAGTCCACCGGCCTCAGTCCACCGGCCTCAGTCCACCGGCCTCAGTCCAGCGGCCTCAGTCCAGCGGCCTCAGTCCAGCGGCCTCAGTCCACCGGCCTCAGTCCACCGGCCTCAGTCCACCGGCCTCAGTCCACCGGCCTCAGTCCACCGGCCCCAGCCCTGGGTCAGTCTGGCTTCAGTCTGGGTCTCAGTCTGGCCTCAGTCTGGCCTCAGTCCTGGTCTAGTACCTTGTGTCCTGGGACCCTCTGTGTTCCTCCTGGAGGTCCCACCACAAAGTGCACGTCTGCCATCATCTCGTTATTGAACATGACTGAGTTCCTACAGGACACACACAGTATTAGCTCCTCCCCTCCCACACACACACACACACACAGACACACACACACACACACACACACACACACACACACACACACGGTCTCTCCCCCCTCGCCCAACCTCCCCCTCACCTCTCCCGGAGGGTGGGGAACAGTCCTTGCCAGCTGGAGCCCGCGCTGCTGAGGCTGAGGCTGGGGCTGAGGCTGTGGGTGCTGTGGGGGGGCCCCTGGGTGCTGAGGGTGCTGCTGCTGTCAGACGGGACCAGCTTCTTGGAGGGGAACAGCTCTCCGGCCATCCTCCCCCCCCGCGGCGCTCAGACACCCTCCAGACACATGACTCCGACTGGAACCAGCAAGACTCTGTTATTGTCTCAGATAGTACGCATTAAAGGAGCAGTATGGAGACATGTGGCCAACAGTGGTACTGCAGCCTCTCCCACTCTCCCTGACTCAGGTTGCCAGATATGCAGACGAATCCAGCTGGGACCATAACAGCTGAATAGACAAGAGTTTTGGCAACAACAAATCTATAACCAACACCTTTTTCACAAAGATAGAAATCCTGGTTTTATTCCTTGTTTTGTCGTTAATGATTTGAGAATCATAACGAGACCTTTTTTAGTTCTGCGCCACATGGTACTTTACCAGTGAGATTAGCTCCACGCGGTGAGTTCTGGCGCCCGGAGCACAGACTTTCTGATTGGTGAAACGATGGAGGGCGGGACATCGAAATGAAAACAATAACAAGATTTAGGGGCTGGAAAAGTAATTTAGAAATTCAAATATCTCTGAACGACTGTTATCAGTTAAAGAAGTATTGGAAAAGAGCAGTTTATTATTATGACAAATTAGGGCCCTTTAACTCACTGACTGCCAGGCATTTTCAGATTTGAGAAGTGCATTCTGCCAGCAATTTCAGGTGATTTGACCCAACTTTGAAGTGCCACAGAATATTCATTTTTTAGACGATGTAAACACCAAGGGCACCAAATTAAAGATTAACCTCTCTGCTTTACTCTGAAAAAAACAGTTTGTTTCTACCTCTTACCGTTCTTGCGTTATTTGCCATAGAACAAAGCATACTTTCACCCATAACACCTGGTCTGAGCAAGAAAACAGAGAAAACGAGCTGTATGTAAACAGGAACATATCAAGCAGAAAAGAGACTTTAGATGCATTTTTGCTGCTTTAGTGACAACTCAAAACATCTTCACACTTGTTCCATTACAAAAATTATAAAAACATGACTCTGAAATAATACTTTTGATGGCAAATTGTTGGCAATTTATTCACAGATAGAAAATTTAACTTTCTTCTATACCATCAACCAAAACGTCAAACAACAACAACACAAAGATCAATAAAACTATAGATGTATAAAATAGAATGAAGCATGTGAATTTGTGTGTGTGTGTGTGACTGTCAGTGTGCGAGTGAGTGTCTGTGTGAGTGAGTGTCTGTGTGCGTGAGTGAGTGAGTGAGTGCGTGTGAGTGTTTGTGAGTGTGTCCGATAAATCATGATCAGGTTTGCTGAACGAATCCGAGGCATCAGTAACAGCAGCAGCTGATACGCTGCGAGAGGCGGAAGGTGTGTCCCTGCTCGGGGCTCTTGCTCCGCGCAAATGTAGCTGCAGAGACGGACCTCCACCCGGGTCTCCCCTCTCTCCCCTCTCGACCTCACTCACTGATCCGCGAGTCAATCTCTGAAGCAGTGTATACTGCTTATAACTATTCTTTTTTGCCATCACTCTTGCTATACTATCGCTAAACTAGATCTGATCCGTCTCAATGCTACAGTACGCTATCATCGCTCTGCTACAGCAGCACAGCACGCTCTCCAAACACTCCCACACTCCTCCTCCTCCTCTCCACTGACTTATGACCTCTCCTGTGGTGCAATACTGCATCCTACTGGTGGTGATTTATCATTACAGGTACATTTGCACTATATATCAGTGTTGTGGGTCATTAACAAGGTGCGCCAGACATTACTGCAGCCTCCCGTGTAATAACACGAAAAAGTCGTCTAAGTCGTCTTGGGCAGTGAGCGTCACTATACAATAGAACGACTTTTGTCGTCATGGGCAGTGAATGAGTTAATGATGACAGATTAGGGCCCTTTAATGATGACAGATTAGGGCCCTTAAATTATGACAGATTAGGGCCCTTTAATGATGACAGATTAGGGCCCTTAAATTATGACAGATTAGGGCCCTTAAATTATGACAGATTAGGGCCCTTTAATGATGACAGATTAGGGCCCTTTAATGATGACAGATTAGGGCCCTTAAATTATGACAGATTAGGGCCCTTTAATGATGACAGATTAGGGCCCTTAAATTATGACAGATTAGGGCCCTTTAATGATGTCAGATTAGGGCCCTTTAATGATGACAGATTATGGCCCTTTAATGATGACAGATTAGGGCCCTTCAATGATGACAGATTAGGGCCCTTAAATGATGACAGATTAGGGCCCTTTAATGATGACAGATTAGGGCCCTTTAATGATGACAGATTAGGGCCCTTTGATGACAGATTAGGGCCCTTAAATTATGACAGATTAGGGCCCTTTAATGATGACAGATTAGGGCCCTTTAATGATGACAGATTAGGGCCCTTTAATGATGACAGATTAGGGCCCTTAAATGATGACAGATTAGGGCCCTTTAATGATGACAGATTAGGGCCCTTAAATTATGACAGATTAGGGCCCTTTAATGATGACAGATTAGGGCCCTTTAATTATGACAGATTAGGGCCCTTTAATGATGACAGATTAGGGCCCTTTAATGATGACAGATTAGGGCCCTTAAATGATGACAGATTAGGGCCCTTTAATGATGACAGATTAGGGCCCTTTAATGATGACAGATTAGGGCCCTTTAATGATGACAGATTAGGGCCCTTTAATGATGACAGATTAGGGCCCTTAAATTATGACAGATTGGGGCCCTTTAATTATGACAGATTAGGGCCCTTAAATGATGACAGATTAGGGCCCTTAAATGATGACAGATTAGGGCCCTTAAATTATGACGGATTAGGGCCCTTTAATGATGACAGATTAGGGCCCTTTAATGATGACAGATTAGGGCCCTTAAATTATGACAGATTAGGGCCCTTAAATGATGACAGATTAGGGCCCTTTAATGATGACAGATTAGGGCCCTTTAATGATGACAGATTAGGGCCCTTTAATGATGACAGATTAGGGCCCTTTAATGATGACAGATTAGGGCCCTTAAATTATGACAGATTGGGGCCCTTTAATTATGACAGATTAGGGCCCTTAAATGATGACAGATTAGGGCCCTTAAATGATGACAGATTAGGGCCCTTAAATTATGACAGATTAGGGCCCTTTAATGATGACGGATTAGGGCTCTTTAATGATGACAGATTAGGGCCCTTAAATTATGACAGATTAGGGCCCTTTAATGATGACAGATTAGGGCCCTTAAATTATGACAGATTAGGGCCCTTAAATTATGACAGATTAGGGCCCTTTAATGATGACAGATTAGGGCCCTTTAATGATGACAGATTAGGGCCCTTAAATTATGACAGATTAGGGCCCTTTAATGATGACAGATTAGGGCCCTTAAATTATGACAGATTAGGGCCCTTTAATGATGTCAGATTAGGGCCCTTTAATGATGACAGATTATGGCCCTTTAATGATGACAGATTAGGGCCCTTCAATGATGACAGATTAGGGCCCTTTAATGATGACAGATTAGGGCCCTTTAATGATGACAGATTAGGGCCCTTTAATGATGACAGATTAGGGCCCTTAAATGATGACAGATTAGGGCCCTTTAATGATGACAGATTAGGGCCCTTTAATGATGACAGATTAGGGCCCTTTAATGATGACAGATTAGGGCCCTTTAATGATGACAGATTAGGGCCCTTTAATGATGACAGATTAGGGCCCTTTAATGATGACAGATTAGGGCCCTTAAATGATGACAGATTAGGGCCCTTTAATGATGACAGATTAGGGCCCTTTAATGATGACAGATTAGGGCCCTTTAATGATGACAGATTAGGGCCCTTAAATGATGACAGATCAGGGCCCTTTAATGATGACAGATTAGGGTCTTTAATGATGACAGATCAGGGCCCTTTAATGATGACAGATTAGGGCCCTTTAATGATGACAGATTAGGGCCCTTTAATGATGACAGATTAGGGCCCTTTAATGATGACAGATTAGGGCCCTTTAATGATGACAGATTAGGGCCCTTTAATGATGACAGATTAGGGCCCTTTAATGATGACAGATTAGGGCCCTTTAATGATGACAGATTAGGGCCCTTTAATGATGACAGATTAGGGCCCTTTAATGATGACAGATTAGGGCCCTTTAATGATGACAGATTAGGGCCCTTTAATGATGACAGATTAGGGCCCTTGATGACAGATTGGGGCCCTTTAATGACTTGAAAATCTTACATATTGCTACTTTTAGTAAGGTTATAACATCACTAATCTACTATTATCCGAATACTTTTATTTTGTAAATTTATTTTGAGAAGAAATCATTTTTGGGAAATGCCAGTGTTGCAGTTAGATGTTATACATATATAGAGAAAGGTAGAGTAGTGTAGAAACAGGGCTAAAGTGGTCATCATCAGATAAAGTTCTGCACAAGCCACAGGTCTGGATCTTAAACCTGGTCAAATCCTAAACCTGGTTCTAATCCGGTCCTGGTTCAGTCCCATTAACCGGAACCACTGAGAACAGACAATAATGAAGGATTCTGAGGGTTTTTCCTGCAAACCCGAGATGCTAATGCCGCAGTAGCTGTTAGCATCCACTTCCCCGTCACTTCCCGACCTGGACAACTCATAAACCATTAAGGAAAGATGCAAACACACGTGGTGCAGCAGAACATGCCAAATACATACACAACACACGCGCATTACAGTTAAAACATCGCTGGCTGCTGACGTTAGCGCGCCGAAGCTAATGCTAATGCTAATGCTAATGCTAATGCTAATGCTAATGCTAATGCTAAAGCTCCAGACACGGGCTGAACTCCTCCGATCCCGCGGGACTTACTGCTCTGAGAATGGGCTTGTGTCAGCACATCTGTCCCCGCGGAGAGAGCATGTTCCACCCGGGGAAGAGCCTTTGGTTTGGTCCGGGTTCGGGCTCGGTGGTTCCGGGGGCTGCTCGCTCGACTCTCCCCGAGAACAGAGACTGCAGCGCCGCAAGCAGGACACAGGGAGCACGGCAGAACCAGGAGAGGACCAGGAGAGGACCAGGAGAGGACCAGGAGAGGACCAGGAGAGGACCAGGAGAGGACCAGGAGAGGACCAGGAGAGGACCAGGAGAGGACCAGGAGAGGACCAGGATTGGACCAGGATTGGACCAGGAGAGGACCAGGAGAGGACCAGGAGAGGACCAGGAGAGGACCAGGATTGGACCAGGAGAGGACCAGGAGAGGACCAGGAGAGGACCAGGAGAGGACCAGGACCAGGAGAGGACCAGGAGAGGACCAGGAGAGGACCAGGAGAGGACCAGGATTGGACCAGGAGAGGATCAGGATAGGACCAGGAGAGGATCAGGATAGGACCAGGAGAGGACCAGGAGAGGACCAGGAGAGAGATGCAGGAGAGGACCAGGATAGGAACAGGAGAGGACCAGGAGAGAAGCAGGAGAGGACCAGGAGAGAAGCAGGAGAGGACCAGGAGAAGACCAGGAGAAGACCAGGAGAGGACCAGGAGAGGACCAGGAGGGATGCAGGAGAGAACCAGGAGAGGACCAGGAGAGGACCAGGAGAGATGCAGGAGAGGACCAGGAGAGATGCAGGAGAGGACCAGGAGAGAGGCAGGAGAGGACCAGGAGAGAAGCAGGAGAAGACCAGGAGAGAAGCAGGAGAGGACCAGGAGAGAAGCAGGAGAGGACCAGGATAGGACCAGGAGAGAACCAGGAGAGGACCAGGAGAGAGGTAGGAGAGGACCAGGAGAGAACCAGGAGTGACCCAGGAGAGAAGCAGGAGAGGACCAGGAGAGAAGCAGGAGAGGACCAGGAGAAGACCAGGAGAAGACCAGGAGAGGACCAGGAGAGGACCAGGAGGGATGCAGGAGAGAACCAGGAGAGGACCAGGAGAGGACCAGGAGAGATGCAGGAGAGGACCAGGAGAGATGCAGGAGAGGACCAGGAGAGATGCAGGAGAGGACCAGGAGAGAGGCAGGAGAGGACCAGGAGAGAAGCAGGAGAGGACCAGGAGAAGACCAGGAGAAGACCAGGAGAGGACCAGGAGGGATGCCGGAGAGAAGCAGGAGAGAACCAATTGAGGACCAGGAGAGGACCTGGAGAGATCCAGGAGAGGACAAGGTTAGGACCAGGACAGATGCAGGAGAGAACCAGGAGAGGACCAGGAGAGAACCAGGAGAGGACCAGGAGAGAAGCAGGAGAGAAGCAGGAGAAGACCAGGAGAGGACCAGGACCAGGAGAGATCAGGTGAGAACCAGGAGAGGACCAGTAGAGACTCAGGACCAAAGCCACACTCCAAACCATCTGCCAGGACCCTTAAGGGAGGAATCATTTCGCACCAGCTTCACAGTAGAACTCCCAGAGCAGTCAATTTGACGGCTTTTAGTTTTGGAAGTGCATTTACTCATCTCATGTGTATTCTTGGTCTTCATAAATTTGTAACTTTTTCTGTATTCTTATGTAGTTTATTTCTATGTCATTATGTTTTCATCGAATTATCTTTTACTTTTGAATTGAGAGTAATCGTACATTTAAAAAAAGAATTCCACCAGAAAATATCAATTACCATAGCAACAGGCTGTTTACTGTCAGAAGTTAGCATTAGCCATATTTACTGTATTTCATTTGTACTCACCAGTTCTAGCGCTTGACCCACAATCAAAACAAATGTATTACTAATAAGGTTAACGAGCTTTACAACCAGGTATAATATGACTTTATTGGTGAAGCTGAAGTTGGCTGAATGACGCTGTTAAAGTGCCTCAATGGCTACTTGTGTTGGGCCACAGAACATGTCAGAGTGGGCCTCATTTGGCCCACAGGCCTGAGTTTGGACCCCCCCTGCTCTTATGCAATATATATATATATAGTCTGTAGTTTGTGGAAACATCTTTAGCTCCCCCTCAGACTGACCACGCCCTCTCAGACTTACCACGCCCCCTCAGACTGACCACGCCCCCTCAGACTGACCACGCCTCCCTCAGACTGACCACGCCCTCTCACACTTGTCACGCCCCCTCAGACTGACCACGCCCCTTCATACAAACCACACCCCTCAAACTGACCACGCCCCCTCAGACTGGCCACGCCTCCTCAGACTGACCACGCCCTCTCACACTTGTCACGCCCCCTCAGACTGACCACGCCTCCTCAGACTGACCACGCCCTCTCACACTTGTCACGCTCCCTCAGACTTACCACGCCTCCTCAGACTGACCACGCCCCTTCATACAAACCACACCCCTCAAACTGACCACGCCCCCTCAGACTTACCACATCTCCTCAGACTGACCACACGCCTCAAACTGACCACGCCCCCTCAGACTTAACTGACCACACGCCTCAGACTGACCACGCCCCTTCATACAAACCACACCCCTCAGACTGACCACACCCTCTTAAACTGACCACGCCCCCTCAGCCTTCGCCTCCAAACATCTCTGAAATATAAACTAAAGAGAAATCCAGGAATGAAACAAAACATGTCTTTGTCGACAACAGTTTATTTACAGAAAGTGCATTTGTACAAATGTAGGAAACATTTTAATCACGTTCAAAATAAAAGCACAAAGTTACTGGAACCTTCAGCCTGAAAATCTACATTTCACGAAGGCGACGACGGCACAAACTGTTGGCACAAAATATAAGTGACAAAAAGTCCAATAAATATTAAATAATATTTTAAAAAACAGTAGATAAAATTCAATACAACCAGCAGCAGGTTTGAGGGTGTGTGTGTGTGTGTGTCTGTGTGTGTAAAATAAATAAGTATCATCATTCTGACACACACACTGACACACACAAACACACAGACACACACAAACAGACACACGCTGACACACGTTTATTTCTACAGTTAAAACATAAAGTGCTTTTCAAAACTCTCACACAGGCATCATCACCACAGAGGGACTAGAGAGAGGCCTCTGTTGCCGTGGAAACTCTGGCGGCCATCTTGCGTATTCCCAAGAGCATATTTCTCATTGCGGAGACTTAGCCGGTGTCTCTTTAAATGTGTTGACGCTTCCGTGACTTTGGAAGTTATCACGACACGAGGGTGTGCAAAAAAACAAATGTTACTCGGTGGCTTGGTTTGAGGTTTGCTAAAGTTATGCTAACGTTTTGCTAATAGCATAGTTAAAGCGCTTATAACAGGTTGGATTTACTTTTTGCAAAACACAGTCAACGTTACTAATATTTAAGATTTTGATGAAGATTATCCAAACGTCATCCCAGTTTCACTTCCTGGTAACGGGTGACATCACAGGAGCGCCCAAGCACCAGTGCAATTAACCGAAACTGACAATATATTTGGACAAAGGAAATGACAAGAACGCACTTTGATCCAGTGAAAAAACTTTAAAAACATTGTTTGCGGTGATGTCATTAGTTCTAGAACGCGGCTCTACTTCCTGGAAATTTCACCAACTGCCGCTTAAAATTGATTAAAATGGGGTCAACATTAGAAAATCATTAAAAAACCTGCACTTACATAAAAATATTAATAATTTCATTTAAACAAAAACATCAATTAGAAAAAGGCTAACCGGGAAATGTGTTTGTTTGACTTCAGTATAATGTTAGCATAGAATTAGCATAACATTAGCGTAAAGTTAGCATAACATTAGAAAAACGTTAACATAGAAGTAGCACAACGTTAGCATAATGTTAGTATATAATTAGCAAAATGTTAGGATTAGCGTAATTTTAGAATAACATAAGCATAACGCTAGCATATTCCCGTAATGTTAGCATTAGCGTAATTTTAGCAAAACGTCAGCACACCTGATCAATTCAAGCCACCAACCAACTCCTGTTTGATTTGATGATGTTTTACAGTTTTATTTTGTTAATGTAAAAGTTTGGCTCTGAAGTTAAAACCTGAAGTTAAGACATTTAGAACCAGAGAGACCAGAGAGAGACCAGAGAGAGACCAGAGAGAGACCAGAGAGAGGCCAGAGACCAGAGAGAGACCAGAGACCAGAGAGAGACCAGAGACCAGAGAGAGACCAGAGAGAGACCAGAGACCAGAGACCGGAGAGAGACCAGAGAGAGACCAGAGAGAGACCAGAGACCAGAGAGAGACCAGAGAGAGACCAGAGACCAGAGAGAGACCAGAGAGAGACCAGAGAGAGACCAGAGAGAGACCAGAGAGAGACCAGAGAGAGACCAGACCCGAGACCAGAGAGAGACCAGAGAGAGACCAGAGAGAGACCAGAGAGAGACCAGACCCGAGACCAGACCCAGACCAGACCAGACCGAGACCAGAGAGAGACCAGAGAGAGACCAGACCCGAGACCAGAGAGAGACCAGAGAGAGACCAGAGAGAGACCAGAGACCAGAGAGAGACCAGAGAGAGACCAGACCCGAGACCAGAGAGAGACCAGAGAGAGACCAGAGAGAGACCAGAGAGAGACCAGAGAGAGACCAGACCCGAGACCAGACCCGAGACCAGAGAGAGACCAGAGAGAGACCAGAGAGAGACCAGAGAGAGACCAGAGAGAGACCAGAGAGAGACCAGACCCGAGACCAGACCCGAGACCAGACCCAAGACCAGACCCGAGACCAGAGAGAGACCAGAGAGAGACCAGAGAGAGACCAGAGACCAGAGAGAGACCAGAGAGAGACCAGACCCGAGACCAGAGAGAGACCAGAGAGAGACCAGAGACCAGACCCGAGACCAGACCCGAGACCAGACCCGAGACCAGACCCGAGACCAGAGAGAGACCAGAGAGAGACCAGACCCGAGACCAGAGAGAGACCAGAGAGAGACCAGAGAGAGACCAGAGACCAGAGAGAGACCAGAGAGAGACCAGACCCGAGACCAGAGAGAGACCAGAGAGAGACCAGAGAGAGACCAGAGAGAGACCAGAGAGAGACCAGAGAGAGACCAGACCCGAGACCAGACCCGAGACCAGAGAGAGACCAGAGAGAGACCAGAGAGAGAGACCAGAGACCAGACCAGAGAGAGACCAGAGAGAGACCAGACCCGAGACCAGACCCGAGACCAGAGAGAGACCAGAGAGAGACCAGAGAGAGACTGGACAGCCAATGGTATTGACTAGAAACCAAACCAAAACAAAGAAACATGTGACTGTGCTTCATCACGTGATCTGGGGGCGTGGCCTATAAGGAGCCCCTGTAGTATCTGGTTTCCATCACAACCCGGAGCCCTCTCTGGCCCCTCACTGACCTCTGACCCTGTCCTCTCTCCTCCCTGCTTTAATGCCCCGAAGAGCGTTTAGTGCAATGGATATCGTTGTGTTCTGGATCAAGATATTGTAACTTTAAAAAGATATTGTAACTTTAAAAGACATAAACAGCAGATGACAGTAAACTCCTCCTCCTGCCACACACACACACACACGTCTAAGATTACAGTCTAAGAACCACTGTTTGTCGGTTTATTAAGTAACATTCTGAATTATTTGTCTTGTGTGTTTCCGCTGGAGGACTGTTGCGTCGGTGTTTCCTGTTCAATAACTGGAAATAAAGTAAATGTGTAGATAATGATGAAAACTAACTAGAGAAGAAGAGTCTGAAGAGAAGCAGATAAATATTCTGTGAGTGCGTTTACAAAGCAGCGTTGCTCCCAAACCGGTCTGACGGCTCTGGTCCCGGTCTACAAACGGCTCTGGTCCCGGTCTACAAACGGCTCTGGTACCGGTCTACAAACGGCTCTGGTCCCGGTCTACAAACGGCTCTGGTCCCGGTCTACAAACGGCTCTGGTCCCGGTCTACAAACGGCTCTGGTCCCGGTCTACAAACGGCTCTGGTCCCGGTCTACAAACGGCTCTGGTACCGGTCTACAAACGGCTCTGGTACCGGTCTACAAACGGCTCTGGTCCCGGTCTACAAACGGCTCTGGTCCCGGACAACAAACAGCTCTGGTCCCGGTCTACAAACGGCTCTGGTCCCGGTCTACAAACAGCTCTGGTCCCGGTCTACAAACGGCTCTGGTCCCGGTCTACAAACGGCTCTGGTCCCGGTCTACAAACAGCTCTGGTCTCGGTCTACAAACAGCTCTGGTCCCGGTCTACAAACAGCTCTGGTCCCGGTCAACAAACGGCTCTGGTCCCGATCTACAAACAGCTCTGGTCCCGGTCAACAAACAGCTCTGGTCCCGGTCTACAAACGGCTCTGGTCCCGGACAACAAACAGCTCTGGTCCCGGTCTACAAACGGCTCTGGTCCCGGTCAACAAACGGCTCTGGTCCCGGTCTACAAACGGCTCTGGTCCCGGTCTACAAACGGCTCTGGTCCCGGTCTACAAACGGCTCTGGTCCCGGTCTACAAACGGCTCTGGTCCCGGTCTACAAACGGCTCTGGTCCCGGGCAACAAACGGCTCTGGTCCCGGTCTACAAACGGCTCTGGTACCGGTCTACAAACGGCTCTGGTCCCGGTCTACAAACGGCTCTGGTCCCGGTCAACAAACGGCTCTGGTCCCGGTCTACAAACGGCTCTGGTCCCGGTCAACAAACAGCTCTGGTCCCGGTCTACAAACGGCTCTGGTCCCGGTCTACAAACGGCTCTGGTCCCGGTCAACAAACAGCTCTGGTCCCGGTCTACAAACGGCTCTGGTCCCGGTCTACAAACGGCTCTGGTCCCGGTCTACAAACGGCTCTGGTCCTGGTCAACAAACAGCTCTGGTCCCGGTCAACAAACAGCTCTGGTCCCGGTCTACAAACGGCTCTGGTCCCGGTCTACAAACGGCTCTGGTCCCGGACTACAAACGGCTCTGGTCCCGGTCTACAAACGGCTCTGGTCCCGGTCTACAAACGGCTCTGGTCCCGGTCTACAAACGGCTCTGGTCCCGGTCAACAAACAGCTCTGATCCCGGTCTACAAACGGCTCTGGTCCCGGTCTACAAACAGCTCTGGTCCCGGTCTACAAACGGCTCTGGTCCCGGTCTACAAACGGCTCTGGTCCCGGCCTACAAACGGCTCTGGTCCCAGTCTACAAACGGCTCTGGTCCCGGTCTACAAATGGCTCTGGTCCCGGTCTACAAACGGCTCTGGTCCCGATCTACAAATGGGCCGAGGACTTTGGATTATTACTCAAGCTTTGGACCAGAGAGAGACCAGAGAGAGACCAGACCCGAGACCAGAGAGAGACCAGAGAGAGACCAGACCCGAGACTAGAGAGAGACCAGAGAGAGACCAGACCCGAGACCAGAGAGAGACCAGAGAGAGACCAGAGAGAGACCAGAGAGAGACCAGAGAGAGACCAGAGAGAGACCAGACCCGAGACCAGAGAGAGACCAGACCCGAGACCAGAGAGAGACCAGACCCGAGACCAGAGAGAGACCAGAGAGAGACCAGACCCGAGACCAGAGAGAGACCAGACCCGAGACCAGAGAGAGACCAGAGAAAGACTGGACAGCCAATGGTATTGACTAGAAACCAAACCAAAACAAAGAAACATGTGACTGTGCTTCATCACGTGATCTGGGGGCGTGGCCTATAAGGAGCCCCTGTAGTATCTGGTTTCCATGGTTACCTGCAGTGTAAACGCACAGGTGCTCTGTAAACGGACTCCAACATGGTCAGGCGATACGGCGACCCATGGTGTCACCATGTGAGAAGGAAATATGTGAGGGGTTTGACACGAACACACTCCCAGAGCAGTCACAGAGTTAGTCTGTAGGACTTCTCCTCATGGACAGTTGTGGTCGTCTGAACTCTGACCTTTTCTATCAATATGTTGTTTTTGTGATGACTTTATTCAATTAGTGATAGTTCTACCTTAAACTCTCCATTCATTTGAATTTCAATATTTAAATAGAGCCATTGACGGTCGCTTGGAAACGTTCTATGGCAGTGTCAGACTCTACACTGAGTGTTCTCCTCCTCACACCTCCTCACACCTCCTCACTCCTCCTCACACCTCCTCACTCCTCCTCTCTCCTCCTCACTCCTCCTCACACCTCCTCACTCCTCCTCTCTCCTCCTCACTCCTCCTCACTCCTCCTCACACCTCCTCACTCCTCCTCTCTCCTCCTCACTCCTCCTCTCTCCTCCTCACTCCTCCTCACTCCTCCTCACTCCTCCTCTCTCCTCCTCTCTCCTCCTCACTCCTCCTCTCTCCTCCTCACTCCTCCTCACTCCTCCTCTCTCCTCCTCACACGTAGACCTTGGCCAGCCCGTCAGACCCCTCACTCCTCCTCTCTCCTCCTCACACGTAGACCTTGGCCAGCCCGTCAGACCCCTCACTCCTCCTCGCACCTCCTCGCTCCCTCCTCACACGTAGACCTTGGCCAGCCCGTCAGACCCCTCACTCCTCCTCGCACCTCCTCTCTCCTCCTCACACGTAGACCTTGGCCAGCCCGTCAGACCCCCTAAGACCTCCTCTCTCCTCCTCACACGTAGACCTTGGCCAGCCCGTCTGACCCCCTAAGACCTCCTCACACCTCCTCACTTCTCCTCTCTCCTCCTCACACGTAGATCTCACACGTAGACCTTGGCCTCTGACCCCTCACGCCTCTGACCCCTACACCTCCTCTCTCCTCCTCACACGTAGACCTTGGCCAGCCCGTCAGACCCCTCACACCTCCTCTCTCCTCCTCACACGTAGACCTTGGCCAGCCCGTCAGACCCCTCACACCTCCTCGCTCCCTCCTCTCTCCTCCTCACTCCTCCTCACTCCTCCTCGCTCCTCCTCGCTCCTCCTCACACGTAGACCTTGGCCAGCCCGTCAGACCCCTCACTCCTCCTCGCACCTCCTCGCTCCTCCTCACACGTAGACCTTGGCCAGCCCATCAGACCCCTCACTCCTCCTCGCACCTCCTCTCTCCTCCTCACACGTAGACCTTGGCCAGCCCGTCAGACCCCTCACTCCTCCTCGCACCTCCTCTCTCCTCCTCACACGTAGACCTTGGCCAGCCCGTCAGACCCCTCACTCCTCCTCGCTCCTCCTCGCTCCTCCTCACACGTAGACCTTGGCCAGCCCGTCAGACCCCTCACTCCTCCTCGCACCTCCTCTCTCCTCCTCACACGTAGACCTTGGCCAGCCCGTCAGACCCCTCACTCCTCCTCGCACCTCCTCCTCACTCCTCCTCACACGTAGACCTTGGCCAGCCCGTCAGACCCCCCGCTGCTCATGTATCCCAGGGTGTGGTGGAAGGAGACGCTGTGGATGGACTCGTGGAACTTCCTCCTGTGAGCAGTGAACTCCTGGACACAGGTGCGAGAGTCCAGGCTCCACAGCCGCACTGAGCAGTCATGGCCTGTAGGGGGCAGCGCACTTTACAAACACATCCACCAGAGACTGAGACCAGAGAGAGAGAGCAGAGACTGAGACCAGAGAGAGAGAGCAGAGACTGAGACCAGAGAGAGAGACCAGAGAGAGAAAGCAGAGACTGAGACCAGAGAGAGAGACCAGAGACTGAGACCAGAGAGAGAGACCAGAGACTGAGAGAGAGAGCAGAGACTGAGACCAGAGAGAGAGAGCAGAGACTGAGACCAGAGAGAGAGAGCAGAGAGAGACCAGAGAGAGACCAGAGACTGAGACCAGAGAGAGACCAGAGAGAGACCAGAGATTGAGACCAGAGAGAGACCAGAGAGAGACCAGAGATTGAGACCAGAGAGAGACCAGAGAGAGACCAGAGAGAGACCAGAGAGAGACCAGAGAGAGACCAGAGAGAGACCAGAGAGAGACCAGAGAGAGAGACCAGAGAGAGGGACCAGAGAGAGACTAGAGAGAGACCAGAGATTGAGACCAGAGAGAGACCAGAGAGAGACCAGAGAGAGAGACCAGAGAGAGACTAGAGACAGCGACATTTGACCGTGGATTCTCTGGAGCTGGTTCAGTGTTGAATGCAGTAAAACCAGTAAAAACCAGTAAAACCAGGTGTGAAAGAGGACTCACTTCCTGACAGCAGGTAGAGGCCGTTGGGGTCCACAGAGAGACAGGTGACCGAGTCCAGGTGAGCCACCATCGAGTGCACCTGTTTACCTGCACACACCACACACAGCCACCGGGGGCAGCACCGAGACACACACACACACACTGTAACTGTTATATTATAACAGAGAGACCAGAGAGAGACCAGAGAGGGACCAGAGAGAGAGACCAGAGCGAGAGCAGAGAGAGACCAGAGAGAGACAAGAGAGAGACCAGAGAGAGACCAGAGAGACCAGAGAGAGACCAGAGAGGGACCAGAGAGAGACCAGAGAGAGACCAGAGAGAGAGACCAGAGAGAGACCAGAGAGAGAGCAGAGAGACAGTCCAGAGAGAGACCAGAGTGAGAGATAGTCCAGAGGGAAGGACCAGAGAGAGACCAGAGTGAGAGATAGTCTAGAGGGAAGGACCAGAGAGAGACCAGAGTGAGAGATAGTCCAGAGGGAAGGACCAGAGAGAGACCAGAGTGAGAGATAGTCTAGAGGGAAGGACCAGAGAGAGACCAGAGTGAGAGATAGTCCAGAGGGAAGGACCAGAGAGAGACCAGAGTGAGAGATAGTCCAGAGGGAAGGACAAGAGAGAGACCAGAGTGAGAGATAGTCTAGAGGGAAGGACCAGAGAGAGACCAGAGTGAGAGATAGTCTAGAGGGAAGGACCAGAGAGAGACCAGAGTGAGAGATAGTCTAGAGGGAAGGACCAGAGAGAGACCAGAGTGAGAGATAGTCTAGAGGGAAGGACCAGAGAGAGACCAGAGTGAGAGATAGTCTAGAGGGAAGGACCAGAGAGAGACCAGAGTGAGAGAGAGTCCAGAGGGAAGGACCAAAATGAGAGAGTCCAGAGGGAAGGACCAGAGAGAGACCAGAGTGAGAGAGAGTCCAGAGGGAAGGACCAAAATGAGAGAGTCCAGAGGGAAGGACCAGAGAGAGACCAGAGTGAGAGATAGTCCAGAGGGAAGGACCAGAGAGAGACCAGAGTGAGAGATAGTCTAGAGGGAAGGACCAGAGAGAGACCAGAGTGAGAGATAGTCTAGAGGGAAGGACCAGAGAGAGACCAGAGTGAGAGATAGTCTAGAGGGAAGGACCAGAGAGAGACCAGAGTGAGAGATAGTCTAGAGGGAAGGACCAGAGAGAGACCAGAGTGAGAGATAGTCTAGAGGGAAGGACCAGAGAGAGACCAGAGAGGGAGAGTGTCCAGAGACAGACACAAGGGAAAGACTAGAGAGACCAGAGAAACAGTCAAACGCTGGTGATCACATTACCCCTCGGGCTATATTAGAAGAATTAAAAAAAATTCTGGTATTAAGAGTCTTGGTACCTGTGTTGTTGTCATAGAAACGAATCTGTCGGTCCTCTCCAGCCGCTATGCTCAGAGGCAGAGAGGGATGGCTGAGGACCTGGTTGATCCCAGTCTCCGGCCTGGTCTCTGGTCTGGTCTCGTGTCCGGTCTCCTCCCTGCTCCCTGGTCCGGTCTCCTCCCTGGTCCCTGGTCCGGTCTCCTCCCTGGTCTCCTCTCTGGTCTCGGTCTCCAGCCTCAGGACCTGCTGTTGCGTCTCCAGGTTGATGAGGGCGATGGCTCCGGAGGTGAAGGAGCAGACCACCAAGGCCGGATCAGAGGCCAGCAGGGCCACAGAGGAGGGGGCCCCCAACTCTGAGGAGGCATGGACCATTACAGACCAGAGAGAGACCAGAGAGAGAGACCAGAGAGAGAGCAGAGAGAGAGACCAGAGAGAGACCAGAGAGAGAGAGACCAGAGAGAGAGAGACCAGAGAGAGAGACCAGAGAGAGACCAGAGAGAGACCAGAGAGAGAGACCAGAGAGAGAGCAGAGAGAGACCAGAGAGAGACCAGAGAGAGACCAGAGAGAGAGACCAGAGAGAGAGCAGAGAGAGACCAGAGAGAGACCAGAGAGAGAGACCAGAGAGAGAGCAGAGAGAGACCAGAGAGAGACCAGAGAGAGAGACCAGAGAGAGAGACCAGAGAGAGACCAGAGAGAGACCAGAGAGAGAGACCAGAGAGAGAGACCAGAGAGAGACCAGAGAGAGAGCAGAGAGAGACCAGAGAGAGAGACCAGAGAGAGACCAGAGAGAGACCAGAGAGAGAGACCAGAGAGAGAGACCAGAGAGAGAGACCAGAGAGAGAGACCAGAGAGAGACCAGAGAGAGAGCAGAGAGAGACCAGAGAGAGAGACCAGAGAGAGAGCAGAGAGAGACCAGAGAGAGACCAGAGAGAGACCAGAGAGAGAGCAGAGAGAGAGACCAGAGAGAGAGACCAGAGAGAGACCAGAGAGAGACCAGAGAGAGACCAGAGAGAGACCAGAGAGAGACCAGAGAGAGAGACCAGAGAGAGACCAGAGAGAGAGCAGAGAGAGACCAGAGAGAGAGCAGAGAGAGACCAGAGAGAGAGACCAGAAAGAGACCAGAGAGAGAGACCAGAGAGAGAGCAGAGAGAGACCAGAGAGAGACCAGAGAGAGAGACCAGAGAGAGAGAGAGAGAGACCAGAGAGAGAGCAGAGAGAGACCAGAGAGAGACCAGAGAGAGAGACCAGAGAGAGACCAGAGAGAGATCAGAGAGAGACAAGAGAGAGACCAGAGAGAGAGACCAGAGAGAGAGACCAGAGAGAGAGACCAGAGAGAGACCAGAGAGAGAGAGCAGAGAGAGACCAGAGAGAGACCAGAGAGAGAGACCAGAGAGAGACCAGAGAGAGACCATATGAACACGGTCGCAAGGCGGGTTAGATGCCCTGTGTTTCGTACCTGGCGCTCGGATCACGGCGAGCGCTGGTCGCGTTTCGGTCGCGTCCCAAACCCTCACCGTCCCATCGGCCGAACAGGAAATGAGGTGCTGGTGGGCGGAGCTATAGGCCACGCCCCAAACTGCATCAGAATGACCAGAGAGCGCCCCCCGCAGGACATTGGGCTCTGAGGGAGAAGAGATCAGACACATCAAAACAAACTATAATATTATTCCAGATCAGAGACCAGAGAGAAACCAGAAAGAGACCAGAGAGACACCAGAAAGAGACCAGAGAGACACCAGAAAGAGACCAGAGAGACACCAGAGAGAGAGGCCAAAGAGAGACCAGAGAGAGACCAGAGAGAGACCAAAGAGAGACCAGAGAGAGACCAGAGAGAGACCCGAGAGTGCCTCGAGAGAGACCAGAGAGAGACCAGAGAGAGACTAGAGAGAGACCAGAGGGAGACCAGAGGGAGACCAGAGAGAGACCAGAGAGAGACCAGAGAGAGACCAGAGGGAGACCAGAGAGAGAAGCAAAAAGTCTCGGTCACAAGGCGGGTTAGATGCCGAGTCCTTCTTGATTCTTTTATTTAACTATTTTGTGTTTTAACTTGATGGTACTTGTCGTTTCTGGTGCGTACCATATGCGTCGTAGGGGTCTGTGGTCGCACTGGGCGTGTTCCAGCTGTAGATGGCGCCGTCTGCTCCTCCACTGAAGAACTGGTCTCCAGAAGAACTCATCACCGAACTGAGGACCGCAGCACTGAGGACAAGAACCAGGACTGAACCAGGACTGAGCCAGGTCTGAGGCAGGTCTGAGCCAGGACTGAGCCAGGACTGAGCCAGGTCCAAACCAGGACTGAGCCAGGACTGAGCCAGGACTGCGCCAGGACTGAGCCAGGACTGCGCCAGGACTGAGCCAGGTCTGAGCCAGGTCTGAGCCAGGACTGGACCAGGACTGAACCAGGACTAACCTGTGAGCTCTGAAGGTATAGATGGGCTCCACGTCTAAAGCAGCACATCTGCACAAACAAAAACAGAGACATGTTAGACCCGACCTTTAATACCCGAGCTAGTCCCGGTCTGGACCCACTCTGGGGCCGGTCTGGACCCAGTCCGGGGCCGGTCTTACTTCTTGCTGGGGCTGGCCTTGTGCAGATTCCACAGCTTGAGGGTGTGGTCCTCAGAGGAGGTCAGCAGAAGGGGCTCTGTGGGGTGAAAGACCACAGACCGGACCGAGTCCAGGTGGCTCCTCAGACTGAACTTCTGAGACCAGGTTCTCCTCACAGAGTCCACTGAGCTCACCGGGACCTGAGGGGACCAGAGAGACCAGGGAGACCAGAGAGACCAGGGAGACCAGGGAGACCAGAGAGACCAGGGAGACCAGGGAGAGACCAGGGAGAGACCAGGGAGAGAGCAGGGAGACAAGGGAGACCAGAGAGACCAGAGAGACCAGAGAGACCAGGGAGACCAGGGAGACCAGGGAGAGACCAGGGAGAGACCAGGGAGAGACCAGGGAGAGATCACAGAGACCAGAGAGAGACCAGAGAGACCAGGGAGACCAGGGAGAGACCAGAGAGAGACCAGGGAGAGACCAGAGAGACCAGAGAGACCAGAGAGAGACCAGAGAGAGACCAGAGAGAGACCAGAGAGACCAGAGACCAGAGAGACCAGAGAGACCAGGGAGGGAGAGACCCGAGAGAGACCAGTGAGAGACCAGAGAGACAAGAGAGAAACCAGCAAGAGACCAGAGAGAAACCAGCGAGAGACCAGAGAGACCAGAGAGAAACCAGATTTATTTTATGAATCTGGACGCATGTTTCCACAATTTTGACCACAACAAAATATAGAAAACATTTGCAGTTTTAAGGGCCTGAGAGGAGTGAGAGGACAATGCTGTACCATGTGGAGACACCATGTGGGCTGTGGTTCAGGACTCACCTCGTACTCTGACGCCTCACACTCGTTGGACACTGTGATTCCTGCCAGTTCCCCCAGACCCAGGTCCAGGGACACAGCCTCATCCACCGGCCCCAAGAGGAAGGACTTCCCCTGGGACGCTGCGAAGACCGACTCTGGGGACCACAGACAGACTCTACTGGACCAGGTACCAGGACTAAAGCAGGACTAAAGCAGGACTAAAGCAGGTCTAAAGCAGGTCTAAAGCAGGTCTAAAGCAGGACTAAAGCAGGACTAAAGCAGGACTAAAGCAGGACTAAAGCAGGACTAAAGCAGGTCTAAAGCAGGACTAAAGCAGGACTAAAGCAGGTCTAAAGCAGGTCTAAACCAGGCCTAAACCAGGAGTAAAGCAGGACTAAAGCAGGATTAAAGCAGGACTAAAGCAGGTCTAAAGCAGGACTAAAGCAGGACTAAAGCAGGACTAAAGCAGGACTAAAGCAGGTCTAAAGCAGGACTAAAGCAGGTCTAAAGCAGGTCTAAACCAGGACTAAAGCAGGACTAAAGCAGGTCTAAAGCAGGACTAAAGCAGGACTAAAGCAGGACTAAAGCAGGACTAAAGCAGGTCTAAAGCAGGACTAAAGCAGGACTAAAGCAGGTCTAAAGCAGGTCTAAAGCAGGTCTAAAGCAGGTCTAAAGCAGGACTAAAGCAGGTCTAAAGCAGGTCTAAAGCAGGACTAAAGCAGGACTAAAACAGGCCTAAACCAGGACTAAACCAGGTCTAAACCAGGTCTAAACCAGGTCTAAACCAGGACTAAACCAGGACTAAACCAGGTCTAAACCAGGACTAAACCAGGACTAAACCATGTCTAAACCAGGTCCGGATCAGGACTGAGCCAGGACTAAACCAGGACTAAACCAGGCCTCTGCTCTCTCTCAGTACCGTGTTCGGGTCGTCCCTGGTCCTCGCTGAAGCGTCCCACTCCAGACCGTGGAGGACCAGGGGACAGGTCTTCGGCCTCTCGCAGGTTTGACAACATGTCCTGCAACTTAGACCGGTTTGGACCTGAGGAGAGAGACCAGAGAGACCAGAGAGACCAGCAGTTAGAGCAGGAGTAGAAGCAGTAGAGAGAGACCAGAGAGAGAGCCAAGAGAGAGAGAGACCAGAGAGAGAGCCAAGAGAGAGAGAGACCAGAGAGAGAGAGACCAGAGAGAGATCAGAGAGAGAGAGACCAGAGAGAGACCAGAGAGAGAGACCAGAGAGAGAGAGAGACCAGAGAGAGAGACCAGAGAGAGACCAGAGAGAGACCAGAGAGAGAGCCAAGAGAGAGAGAGACCAGAGAGAGACCAGAGAGAGACCAGAGAGAGACCAGAGAGAGAGCCAAGAGAGAGAGAGACCAGAGAGAGACCAGAGAGAGAGACCAGAGAGAGAGAGACCAGAGAGAGAGAGACCAGAGAGAGACCAGAGAGAGAGACAACAGAGAGAGTAGTAGTAGAGACCAGAGAGAGACCAGTAGCAGTAGAGAGAGCCTTACGTTTGACCCCCTTCTTGCCCCTCCTCTCCCTCTTGTACTGCTCCTTCAGTTCCTCGATGACGCTCTGGTCCCAGGAGCGGCCCAGACTCAGGTCCAGGTCTGTGGGACCAGAAACAACCATTACACCAGAACATTCTGGTTCTAACACCAGAAATCCTTTTCCAGTAGAACCTGATCCAATAACATTTGGACTGTGTATCTAAAAATTGTAAATCTGTAAATTTCTTTAGAGTCAGAACGTTTCCATGGCAACAACAGCGTGACTCATGTCTGCAGTGTCCTCCCACATAAACTGGACCCAGAACTACAACTGCAGACTCTCTGGTCTCTCTCTGGTCTCTCTCTGGTCTCTCTCTGGTTTCTCTCTCTGGTTTCTCTCTCTGGTTTCTCTCTCTGGTCTCTCGTCTCTCTGGTCTCTCTCTGGTCTCTCTCTGGTTCCTCTCTCTCTGGTCTCTCTCGCTGGTCTCTCTCGCTGGTCTCTCTCTGGTCCCTCCCTGGTCTCCCTCTTTGGTCTCTCTCTCTCTTTGGTCCCTCTCTGGTCCCTCTCTGGTCCCTCTCTGGTCCCTCTCTGGTCCCTCCCTGGTCTCTCCCTGGTCTCTCCCTGGTCCCTCCCTGGTCTCTCCCTGGTCCCTCCCTGGTCTCTCCCTGGTCCCTCCCTGGTCCCTCCCTGGTCTCTCCCTGGTCCCTCCCTGGTCTCTCCCTGGTCTCTCCGTGGTCTCCCTGGTTCAGTGCAGTGTGTGTGTCTGACCAGAGGTGGCGCTGTCCTCTGAGCTGCACAGGAAGTCGAAGCCTCTCAGAGCCTCCTCTGTGTCCTCAGAGGACGAGGAGGAGACCGTGGAGTGACGCCGCACCATCTGCAACAAACCAGGTGTAAGACCAGGTGTTAGACCAGGTGTTAGACCAGAGACACGTACAGGCCAGTGTGGGCGGGTCCCAGCTCAAAAGTGTCCAAAATGACGTGCGCTGACATGCTGCAGTACCACCCCGGGCCTGTGGGGGTGGACCCTGACATGCTGCAGTACCACCCCGGGCCTGTGGGGGTGGACCCTGACATGCTGCAGTACCACCCCGGGCCTGTGGGGGTGGACCTTGACATGCTGCAATACCACCCCGGGCCTGTGGGGGTGGACCCTGACATGCTGCAGTACCACCCCGGGCCTGTGGGGGTGGACCCTGACATGCTGCAGTACCACCCCGGGCCTGTGGGGGTGGACCCTGACATGCTGCAGTACCACCCCGGGCCTGTGGGGGTGGACCCTGACATGCTGCAGTACCACCCCGGGCCAGTGGGGGTGGACTCTGACATGCTGCAGTACCACCCCGGGCCTGTGGGGGTGGACCCTGACATGCTGCAGTACCACCCCAGGCCTGTGGGGGTGGACCCTGACATGCTGCAGTACCACCCCGGGCCTGTGGGGGTGGACCCTGACATGCTGCAGTACCACCCCGGGCCTGTGGGGGTGGACCCTGACATGCTGCAGTACCACCCCGGGCCTGTGGGGGTGGACCCTGACATGCTGCAGTACCACCCCAGGCCTGTGGGGGTGGACCCTGACATGCTGCAGTACCACCCCGGGCCTGTGGGGGTGGACCCTGACATGCTGCAGTACCACCCCAGGCCTGTGGGGGTGGACCCTGACATGCTGCAGTACCACCCCGGGCCTGTGGGGGTGGACCCTGACATGCTGCAGTACCACCCCGGGCCTGTGGGGGTGGACCCTGACATGCTGCAGTACCACCCCGGGCCTGTGGGGGTGGACCCAGAAGAAGAATTAGCCAATGCTAACATATAGCATTAGCAGACCTCTCAAAAACGTCTTTACAGGATGGACCTAAAGTGTCTCTTGGCCCAAAGCTCCGTTCCACATGTGTGTCAATGCTGAGTGTTCTGGACCAGTCTAGTTTAGTCGCTGTGGACTTTAGAAGTCTCTCGTTTAAATGAATGGAGCTGCTCCGGCTGACGCATGCGCTGATGCGTTTTTTCACAATTTTCTTGTGGGCGGGACCACTCGCGGCCATTTTGGATAGCTCCAGTAGAGCACTATTTTTGGCCCATTAGTTAGAACGGCACAGATAGGCCTGACTCTGTCTGTTTATATCTACAGTCTATGGAACAGACGTGTGGCACTCACCAGGTCGGCCGTAGTCGGGTCCTCCTCCGGCTCCAGGTCTCGGTCCGGGTCTCGGTCCAGGTCCTGGTCCAGGAGCAGGTCTTGGTCTTGGCTGAACTGTGCAGCTGCTCTCTCTATGATCCGGAAGGTCTCCATGACGGACTCCACACAGCGCAGCGGGTCCAGGGGGTCCTGACTGAGACCAGACCAGACCAGAATAGGCCAGAGGAGACCAGAGCAGACCAGAGCAGACCAGAATAGGCCAGAATAGGCCAGAGGAGACCAGAGCAGACCAGAGCAGACCAGAGCAGACCAGAGCAGAGGAGACCAGACCAGAATAGGCCAGAGCAGACCAGAATAGGCCAGAGCAGACCAGAGCAGACCAGAATAGGCCAGAGCAGACCAGACCAGACCAGACCAGACCAGAGCAGACCAGACCAGACCAGAGCAGACCAGAGAAACAAACAGCTGTTGTATCGTCAGGTTTTCAAAAATATATAAATAGAATATTATACTACATAGTTCCATTGTTTGTGCTGCTACTACTACTACTACTACTACTACTGCTACTACTGCTATTGCTGCTATTGCTGCTACTGCTGCTACTGCTGCTACTGCTGCTACTGCTGCTACTGCTGCTACTAGTAAGTAAGTAAGGGATAATGTATAGCATACAGGTCATTATCGGAAAATAAGTACCAACAGGGCGAAGCGGACCCCGACGCGCAGCGGAGGGGTCCGCTTCCGCCCTGAAGGTACTTATGCTATACATTATCCTAAATAATGACCGAAATTGAAATTACATTCAAATCAATGGAGCGTTCTCCTGCTGCTGTGAGGAGCCGTATAATAATCATTTATATACCGCCTTTTCACTGCAGATCTGAGTTTCAAAGCAGTTTACAATTGTTATTTATGGGCATTTGTCTCTCACTCCACACAGAGATGGGAGCGGGGTCGCCGAA